CATGATCTGGCTCGACTTCATTGCCGGCCGTCATCTCGATGTCCTCGACGTCCTGAAAAAAATGCGCAGACAAAATCACATGAAACTCTAATTTGCCCTCACCTCAACATGATCTGGCTCGACTTCATTGCCAGCCGTCATCACGAGGTCCTCGACGTCCTGAAAAAATGCGCAAACAAAAATCAAATTGGACTCTGGACAAGAGTGGCTGCAGTCCAGTCTGCAGTCCTTGTTTCCATCCACTTTCGCTTCAGGTACTGCCTCATGCAATGATCCCAGTAAATTTCATGATCGATCAACGCAGTAAATTGTGTTCAAAGCCGCTTCGACATATAAACCTGTGTGGGGGAAGGGTTGAAGTGATATACCATGCCTTGCGTTCGAGTGTTTTTTCTTCTTCTTCTTCGTGGATGCCTTCCTCCTGGGGTAATATTCTGGTACGATCGATGTGTTTTTTGTTTCGTGAACAGGGGACATTGTAGAAGGTGTCTGCGGTGGGATCGATGTTGGAGGATCCAGTGGCGACAAATTAGCCCAAATATTGGATAAACAAAATTTACAGCGGACCATTGCTAGCATGAACAATCGATTCACCCGAGCCTCAACTCCTGCTGCTGATGTCGGTTCTGCGGATTGTTCCATTCCTGGTGCTGATGCTGCAGATTCTTCCTGCGGTACTGGATCATTAGGCGCTGCCACTTCAACGATGACGTCGTCACTCGACGGGTCCTCAAATTCAATGGCAATGGGTGAGCCGTAAGGGAAAACAGACATGCACTCGTAGTTGAACTTGCACATGCGTGAGTGCATAGCTAGCTAGTGTGAACCAAGAGGCCGTGGCAGCTTCATCCTGGGGCGACCCTTCTGGTTGCAAAAGCTGAGACTCCTGCGTTGCATGTACATGCATCTTAAAAAAATATGCCAGATCAGTCAGTCCGGGACATCATCATCTCTTGGTTGGGAGTCTGTCCAATAAAGCCACTCTGCCTCATCTGCTGGCTCCGAATCTGGGATGACAATCGGCTGGTCAACAGCCTCAACTCCGTCCCCTGGTACCGGTTGCTCCTGCCAAGAGCAGCTACAAAAAAAGCGCCACTAGTCACAGTCAAGTACAAATTGTGATATTAAACTGGCCCGATTCCTCAGGTGGAATGAATTCAGGAATTGCGCCGATATCAGCTGCACACTTGTGCAGGTAGAGCGCCTTCAAAATAGCAATTTGCCGGGTCCTTGGCACACAAGATTTCTGGGTTACTTCGAACAATTAATTCATATCCCACCTTGATCGTTCAGTGCGGTAGGTGTTGGTGTAAATATATGCAGCCATCCATTTGAGACGGGTTCCCTGGAGGTCCGCCCACTCCTGAGCAATCATGTGTGCAAAAAAAAGCTGTTAATTTTTCAAAACACGACCATAAATGCCAAAGATCCTTTGCTTTGCCTTTGCCTCCTTTCTTCCCGAGAAATTCATCTGAGAAGAAGCCGTGAACCATTGCCAAGTAAAGCATGGCAGCCTCAGATCAAAACAAAACATAATCGATCACTCGATGACTGGCACACCCACTGCAATTCCAGCATGATTTCACTAGAAATAGTCAGGCACTCGGTGCTCTTTGACATCAGGATATAGTGGGCACACATCCAAAAAGTAGTGCTTGAGAATCTCGAAGTTCTGATCAACTAGGAAGTCTTCTTCCTTCACCTTCAGCGATCACAAGGACGATGCGAAAACAACTCCAAAAAATGAACGCTACATGCTGCTTTTGTTTCACATATCGGCCTTGGCCTGAGCTCCAATGATGACCACAGGGTGATCCTGACCATCATCGAAGTCAGGAAACAAATCAAGACGACCTTAAACAATTGCAATATATATTGCTAAAGGCTGAGATTCTGGGTCACTGCGGATTCTTGATGCAACCGGCTGCACTACTTTCTCCAGTGAATCAAAGATCACCTTTGCATTTTCCTGGGCGTGGAAGGTTTTTTGTTTAATATGCAAAATTATTGGTCAGTTGGTGCAGGGTTTAATGCGTGTAGCCCAGCCAAGTTGCTGATAGGAAGAACGTCACTGGTTGATGGATGATCCACCCACGCACCCCTTGACGGGTGATCATATCATCCATCGACAACGACCCCATGAGGCTTGACTGGTGAGGGTGGCAAAATAACCACAAATGTGCAACTGCAAAATTAATCATGTCATGGTCAGCCACTGTCCTTTGAGCAAATCACGGCAAATTGCATTTCAGAATCTCAATGTCATGCATGCACTCCACAGAAAATTTTAAAAAATCAGCTTAACGTGTGAACCTTCCATATAGGCAGGTGTAGGGGCACGAACCTGGCTTCTGGGCGCTCTTCTTCACTTTCAGCTGGTTGTTGAAGAGCATGGCAGTGTGACCCGGCATAGTCACGAAAGGTGTTTGACTGTCTGAAAGGCTACCAGTTCCAATGCTCCAGGAGCCAGTTGACTAGATCTGAAGGTTCCATGCATAGAAGTGGGTGAGTCCTTCCAAAAAGATTAGATCATGGATCCTCAAAGTCCCTTGATGACCTGAAAAGTTCTCAAACATAGGTGATGTGAGACAGTTATGCTTGTTAGCCTGGGGGTGCCTCGGGCCAGAAGCGTCGAGTAACGCACTTGGGGGGGCAAGTGAGTAATATGACACAAGTTGCTCATATGACACTTTGACACCAAGTAGTGTCTATGGCAACACTTGGATCCACTGGGATAGACATACATGCATTTGTTAACGTTTGCTTGTTGGATATTTGGAGCGCTATTTGAACTTGATATGAGACCTCTCGTCGTCGTCAATCAATCACAAACAAAAACAACTTTGCGGAGGTGGGACCCACCTTTCTCAGAACACTTCAGGAAGTCCCACTAAGCATCTTAATGTTGCACCAGAACTGTCTCCAGGCCTCTCACGATGATCCCCACAAAATCTGCCTCAAAGCTGTTCACCCTGACCCTGGGTGTCCTTCCAAACACGAACCCCTACCAGATACCCTGCATACTTGTCACTGATCACTGATCGACTATCACTCAATAGGAACTGGGCGACAGAAATAACACGGTTGTGGTTGCGTTGATCGAAATGATTGAAACAATAGGAGGTGACAACGCAAGAGATTGATCTTAGAAAGAAGCATATTGCCTCCCTTGTATCCATGAGAAGCAACTCACTGTGACACTTGGCTCACCGGTCTCCCTCACAGGCGAGGCATGTTGAGCTTCACAAAGGGCCAAGCAGGGATCTGGGAAAAAGAACGAACATGAATTATTGGCCTTGTAAAAGGGGCCTGGATGGGCTATTTTGTGCTATCTTGCTTTCTTCCACTGGATCCAAATTATTCAACTCGAAGACCATCCAAGTCCTCTTTGACACATTGGTAGTGCCAAAGGCATATTGAAATGATGTAATTGTTTTCTGAGCACGCCCAGAAAAGTGTGGCCGCAACATGGGTACGGCCCACAATCCAGCGCCAAGGTCAGGCCACCGATCTGTGCGATCATGTGCGATCTGTGCTCTCAGCAAATGGAGGGCGTTAGGGGTGCGCGCGAATTCCCAGGTCCGCAAAGGGGACACCCATCCACCTGATTGTGCTTGGTGATCCAGCGCCTCAAACGAGAAGCGGCTGTCGTGGCGAATGAACTTGACCGTAGCAGCAAGGTTGAGGAATTAGGAAAGGCATTCTGTAATCAAGATGGGGGCATCATCACAAGTGCTTTGAGGATGAGGGTGGCCAAGGATGGACCCGGAAGATGGACGGATGGATCGAGGATGGACGAGGTGAGGATGAGATGGATCCCAGCGCCGATTGAGAACGAACGGTCTCTTGAAGCTTGAAAAGTGGCTTCTATGATCGCAGCACATGATTTCAAGGCATTCTATGGGACAAACATGGGCTCCGTCCAAAACTCTTAGGAACTTAGGGTCCCTGAAATGGCTTTGAGAAAACTGGTGCCCGAACAATATGTTATGGGATCCAAGGGCCTAGAAAGCTTCAGTATGCCCCCACTGGACATGCTGTTCAAATCCCTCCAATGAATGGAACCATGCACCATGTTGCATCAATGTTCTTAACCGCATTCACCGCAGCCTTATCCGAAACAAACTGCAAAACACAACTAGGATTGCTTTACAGTCTCCAATGCCAGGCAAATGATGGCAGGTTTTTCGGCGTAGAATGAGCAGGGAAGGGTCCTGCCTTGCATGTCATAGGGTTTCGCCCAGCCGTTTCACTGCGGTTGGATGATGTTCACTTCACATAAAACATACCAATTAATCCAAACACATCCAATAAAATGTTTAAACAAAAGAAGTAAACACAATGTTACACGATCAAGCATATCCGGATTCCGATTCAGTGCGCGTCACTGAATCGGACCCCAAAAAGGTACTAAGCCCTTCTGGCCCATATGCAGCACCGTACCGTGTCTAAACTGTTCCCATCAGTCTTTCTGACTCATGTGTACGCAGCTGACTCATGTTCTGTCCATCCAATCATGTTACTCGCCGATTGGGGTGGCTTTGAGGTGTTGTGGCCGGACGATTTAGCCCGTTCTTATCGACCAAAAACTGTTTTAAAGGGACTTTGTCCTTAACATCCTGCTCAGGTCTGAATAAACTTCATGCAAAACACTGTCAGTTTTCTGGTGTTCCCAATGGCTCAGCCAAACATGATCCCCCCCCGCAGTTGTGCCTGAGCATTGACATAACTGAGTAGAATTGAATAGAAGTCAGCAAAACAAAGCAACATGAGGCATGAGGCTCAAAAATGGAGAATTCAGATCAAACCAATGAGGATGGGTCAATATATAATCATATACACAGTATATGGATATTGTGTAAGAATGAACATGATGCAGCATGATGAAGCATACCACCGATCAAAGTCAAGAAGTCTAATATGTCTGACATACCTCCAACTGGACATCCGACCACTATAATCCACTATATGCATCTATATGCGGGCGGGGGCCACAGGAACAGAATAGCCTGTAAGGGTCCCGCCAAAGCAAAGGTTGCCTTTTGAGATGATCATGACACAATGACACCCTTTGCCCTATGTGCTTACAAGGTTGATCAGGATACATTGAAAAATTCAGAATTTTAGATTGAAGAAAAGCTCTTCTGGGGGAATACAATGCAAATAAAGAAAACAAGTTCCCGCACCCGATTGGATCTGGATGGCCACAGGCAAAACCAAGTTGTTAGCTAAAAGTTATCCCCACCCGCGCTCCCTGTACACCGGCGGCCCCTCTTAAGCCAAAGGTCCAAGTCAGGTTGATCCGGGCTTGACGCACCTGCGGCTCCTGGCAGCGACCCTCGATAAACAGAACGAACAGTGCACGCAATAGCGTCCTTGCTCCTAGTAGCGATGCCCTAGCTACTAGTAGCTTCTTGTTCTTAGAAGTAATGCCAGGAGCTACTATATACTAGCTTCTTCGGAAAGAACACCTTGCTTGATGATTCCGGCATCTTGGGGAGTGCTCAAAGAATCCTCGCATGCGAAGCCACTTCTTGTGTATGACCTAGGCCAAAAAATGAATAATAACAAAAACATATTCATCGTAAGACTTTGTGTGAATCCAGTCAGCCAGAGTCAGCCAGTCAGCTTTAAACCCTTCATATCTTTCGTGCGTCCCGTCTCCGGTTCCCCGTCCTTTGGAACGGCATGGAGGTAGTGGCCTTTGGATGGCGAAAGAAACGAAACATCGCCAACGGGTCATCAGTCATCTATCTATCATGCCTCCCCAGATGTGGGCTGTGGAATGTTTACCTGTGAAACATGTGGAAGCAACATGTGAAACTATGTGAGGATGGCTTGACATCCCATGGCACATCTTCTATTGCTCATCTTCGCAGGGGACGGGCCAACGGGCGAATCAACCGATTCATTCTGCCACGAAGGGGACCAAACACCCCATGCAAAGGGATCTCTTACGCCACCCAAGCGACGTTGAAACTTCCCCTCCATCGTGCAAAGGTCCCCGTTCCTGGATCGGAGCCATGGGGCTGTTGGAATCGTGGCAACACGGCAACAATTTGCAAACAAGCAAGCCTATCAATCAAACATATATATATAATTAACTGTAACTATCTATTATATATATATATATATCAGCAGACTAGCAAAACCCACAATTCAATCAATCATTCTGTATTGAAAACGTTAATTGTCAATGATTGACCCGGTTACCCGGTGTCAATGCTACTCCGCTCAATTCCATGAAGTCACCAGCATAAATACTAATAGTGCAATGGGCACCCAGGAAAACGCAGGAACATCCGTGCACAACCTCACCTCACTTCGACGACTCACCATGCTCAACAATTCTTTGGTGCAGTCTCAGGACATCTCAGGGCGCCGCTTTGGGGGACACATCTATTCCAGCGGCCCTGTTAAGTCCAAACATGTCCAAACAACTTCTTGGAACCACGGTAGCTCGAACTGATTGCACCATGAACTTGCGCGGGAACCAGCTGCCACGTGATGAATCCTCTTTTTCTCCAAAAGTGGACATCAAAACATCCCAAGATTATCATCAGCTGCTAAGCCGGTTTCATCCGGTTTTCTACTCAGTCCCCGTTCCACCCGGTCCTAACCGCGAAGGAGGTCTCTGCTGGGCCCTTGTGACTGCCCCGGGCCACCCCGAAGCCCGGCTGGTGCTTCACCTGGGCGGAGAACGGCCTCCCCGTCACGGCTTGCCTAGGGAATGAGGAGTGGGCTCCTACAGGCCTTTAAAACAAAAAACAAGAAAACATGCAAGTGTCCAGTTTCATATCAATTGTTCAGGAGCCTACGGACTAGTCACCATAAAACAAAGGATCGTCTTCTCTGGTAGTGTCATGAGACCTGTTGTCGCTGTCATGTGGCTCTATGCGCCGTTAGCACGGGTCTTCGGATCTCTTCGGCCACCAAAACCAAGGTCCCAAGATGCTCCACGTGTTGCGACAACAAAAAGTTGTTAGTCAAAAAATCAATCGCGCCTCGAAGGTTCGAGTGGCGCCCAAGGAGAGGCTTAAAATGCAAATGTCATTGTAGCCACCCTCAAAGAGCTCCTGGTCGTCGCTGGGGGTTGAAGCGTCGCGTGTTCGAGTTCTCCGTCATTTCTTCGCTGGAAGTGTCTGGTTAAGAAGCCTGGCGATGTTTAGAGAGTTGGACTTCGTAGCCTACTTCGGAAGAAGGGAACATAGATCTAGAGTTCACAATTTCCGCCTTTGAGTTTGGGATGGGAAGATCGCCTCTAATGGGAAGATTTGCCTCCAAATTTCAAATTCTGCCTTTTGTAGTTTGCCATGTGTGAACATGACTTGATGATGTCACCGTCGCTGGCCCATATGCAGCCTTTAGCAATAAAATCAAAGCTTGCAGGTATGCCGGTCAATTGCCGGAATCTCAGCTTATGTCAGCTTCTGTCACACTCTGTGAAGCTTTGCAAATATGTCAATTTTGTTTGACCTGATAAAGCTAAAATAACTTTTTCTCGAAGTTACGGATTGTACATCTCCGTGAGGAACTGGGCTACACGCCCCAAAAAGAATCCTCAGAGCCACTGTTGTTGAAGGTAGCCGGATTTAGTGTCACCACCCGATTCTCAGCAGAGGCATCATCAAAGTTCTTTCTGAAGTGCATGTACGAGTGGAGTTTTGGCACCATGCCAAACAAACAATACCGACAAGTTTGGCAGTGTTCTGCAAGAAAGGCGTTGCTTCCTACAAATGTGTTTGATGCCCTCCGCGACGCACGATCACAGGATGGAATTAGCCATAAGCCATCTTGGTGGATGATGCCGCAATGCCCTGGGAAAGAGCAAGCCCAGACTCAGTGCCCATAGAGTGCGCTGAGAGCATGGTGGAGACATCCAAAGGATGCACAAGAAAAGTTTCCACTTCATTTTGAGCGCTGGGTGAGGGGTGTGGTGGTGAATTGAGCAATGGCTTCATGAATAACATGCATTGAATGGGGCACTTCCTCGCTTAGGCCAAAAACAGCCTCTGAATTGCGAGACAAGACTCTGATGCCAGAACCCTTTTTTCCCATAGAGGCTCAAATTCTGCATCTGAATGAGGATTGATGAAGGTGTATATACGCATATATATATAATATTAATAATATATAGTGCTTTCAATATGCAGCGTTTGGGATACCCATTTGTCAGCTGTGGTTGACCAGGCGGACCACGAACAAGTGGAGGTCTCCAACCATGAGAACAATGGCCTTGCTGCTGGATACGGGATTGATCTTTTGAGGGCTGTCAACTTGAGGATGCCGTTTACTGTGTAATTCTTCGACACGTTGCCAAAGGCTACGCAAAGTTCCATTTCCAGAGCACCCCTCCAGTCTGGGCATTCCAATTCCCACCGGGTGAAACCCTACTTCCTCAAACAAAAGCACGTGGATATCAATTTGATGAATGAATTCCCGCACCACCTAATGACACCTATATTACATATTAATACACATTATAATATATGATACATCCGCTTAAAACATAAGCACAACATGTAGTTAGGTGGACCAGTGACACATTGCACATTTGCGTTGGTGATGGTGACCTTCCTTCTGCTACCCCAAAAGCAGATCCAAAAAGTGGAGGAATTTTTGAACAGTTGTTGCGGGCGACCTGTCGCGGAACATGCGCGGGGCACAAAGCATCTCCTCGTCATCTGTGTGCCAACCGACAGAGTCACGGCCATCTCCTCAGTCCGAAAACTCAGAAAACACTCGTCACGTCGCTCGCCAACCGTTAGCACACTGGTCGTGCAAACGGCTCTAGAGCCTGGCATGTTGGACCAATCTGTGGCACGATCGAGACAGCCCAGGTTCGATAGAGATTGATGTTGCAACAATTGGGCTGCGTTGCCAGGCCGCTGGCTGCCACGCAATACTCACCTCGGATGCGGCGAGGGACGCCTACGGCCATACGCGCACGTTTCCATAGGTGGATGTTCGCTTCGGCTGGGCATAGGCGGCATGTCAATGTAAGGATAATTTGCATCTTTCGGAGAAGAAAACAAGTGTGTATGTATGCCATAGCATATCTTGCTATTGCATATCTTTCCACAACGTCGGCCTACACAGAGGAGCTCCCAAAGCATGAGGTGGTTTCTGGATGTTTTTGTCATGTCCGAGGAAACAAATCATTTCCATGGCCTTCCGGCCCAACTTCCTGGAATACATGACTCCACGCCGGACCGTGCCCTGCGCAGGCCACTCCCCTCATCAAGGGAAAGAGGCGAATCCGTGCCACAAAGGGTGGCTCGATGGTCGGCTTCACTGCGACACCTGGGTACGGAGCTGGCCACCGGGGCTTAAAGGCCATGAGGTGCATCGGCATTGACAGTCAGGCCTACAACATCCTACAACTGTCCTATATAAAACAAAACAACACGTCTCTCCTGCCATCCTGCCCAGCCCCTGGAAAGTCCTGGGCACCTGAATATTTGTAGGTGCAGTTGCACCCGTTGAAGACGGTAAAGATCGTCCTGCGCGGCATGTACTTGCCCTCTTCCTGGTACCGCGAATCGGAGAGGTCCTGGCGCCAAACATCCGGTTTGGGTCAATGCTCAACTCGTTTGGAGGCCAGGTGATGCCAGGCTTGGTTGGACGCCCATGGTATTTACTCATGGTGAGGACATAAAAAGTGGTGCAAGGGAGTACGGATGGAAAAGAGAACTTCGTCCCTTTAACTGTCTCTCCTATATGAGCCACCAAAGTTCAAGACCTGGAAAGGACATTCGAGATACTAGTTCCATACTAGATCGTCAGCCTTGCCTGAAACACCAAGCGCCAGATTGAGGTTGGTTTTAAGGATGACTATTGGTCGCCATCACATGCCATGGCCAAGTGGACGGGTTGTGAATAAGCTACGTAAAGCACTAGCAGGACATCTCCAAACCTACCAGCTCAAGGTTGGACATCACCAATGATTAGAAGCACATCATCAGATCCAGCCTGCCATGGCAGTTGTGTCCGAAGCTGCTCGAACCAGCTCCAGGCCATGTCCTGCGGCATGACATGGGCTCGCGCTCGCTCGCTCTCTTTCTCTTTTACTCGGTGGCCTCAATATCTTCCCCGGATCCAACCACTCGGGGTCTGTTCTGAGCCGGAAAAGAGGTCGGAGGGCCCCTCCAGCCCCAAACATAGTTGAATCTCTTACAAGCAGGAAGGACTTGGTCCCAGTGGCTGCTCATCCAGTCTTCTGTCCAGTAGCTCTTCTCGTCTTCTCACCATAGACGGACCGGAATCGAATGCCGTTAACCAATTTACCGATCCACTGCGTCAAATCACTTCACGTCGACGACCAGATATCACGTCAGACCGTCTCTCCTGCGGCACGGCGTTGCGGCAAAGGGAGGCGTAGGATCGAAGGCTGTCGTCCTTCAGCACCAAGTGCCAGCCTGGGACGTCGACGTCCGCGCCGACCGGACGGACAGACGTCCGCGCGTCTATAGACCGAGCGTCTAGAGTCGACGGCCCGTTTGGAGCGAGACGCGCCACGGAGTTCAGGCCGGAGAGGAAGTGTTCGCGGGTGCAGGTAAGGGAAGGGGAAGGGGCATGAAAAATCAAGTAGAGCATGCATAGGAAGGCAAGCGCAAACTTAAAAAAAGGACCTGATACATCCAAAGTGGACGTGTTGCTTTGTTATCCTTCAGGTGGCCAAGCCCGTCTTTTGTTCTGACTCCTGCTGCAATTATTTTGTACTCTTTGTGAAGCTGGCAGAAATGCTTCGATGGAATCCACATTCGCAATAATTGCTTGGTCATTTTATCATCTTTTGTCTCTGAGTCCAATCCCGCCATTTCCACATTCCAATTACATTTATATAGCCTAGCCACAAAGGATGACACATTAACCCACCATCCAAGCCCGCAACGTGTAAATGACAAATGAGGTCTGCAAACTTAGGCGCAGCCCTGGCAAAATGTCAACATCACAAAAATGTCGCCCGTGAGCACGTGTGCTTTGCAAAATGCCTGCACTTTGTTTTTTGAACGGATGCGGGTTCGGAGTACATGTGGCCCAAAACTCACTCAAATCCATGTCAAAACCCTCAAGGGGGGTTTAGACAAGGGTTTGCCGCATCCAGCGGGATTAGAGCCTTCTCCAGCGCTTGACTCTGACCGGTGTGAGACACCGTGCCGCCCGCTGCACGCGGAGCTCGCCTAGGCCTGGACGGGCTCGCTCGCCCATCTCGGCGACAGTGACCAGGGGCACTTCCTTCCGAGTCGGGTCAAAGATGTGGACCTTTGTAACAGCAGAATCGCATGCGGCCAAAGGATGCCAAAGGTAACTTCAAAAATGCTGGTACTGGACCAGTACTGGATGATTCTTTGTAAGAATTCACCTTTTGACCCTAAATCGTAATGTGCAAATGTTAGTATCATATATGCATGGAAAACATGTATACTTGTTTATTAGGTCACTAGGCTTTTTGAGGCTTGAGGCATGAGTGCTACTATAACATATATATATATATAAAGAGGCCGATCGTGGACATGGATATATGATTATCAGTAAGCACTCTTTTAACCCCGCATTATGTTTGCTCTAGAGACCCTAGAGCCCACAAGGATAACACAACACTTGCTGCCTCCTCTAGCTTCTACAGGACGCTTCGGGAAGAAACATCAGCTGTGGGTGATTACTGGCAGAACCCACATGAAGCGAAGCAGCCGAACGACGGCTCCACGCCTTCAAGGGTGGCTCCGGCTGCGACCAAGCGCCACGCCGCAGGTCCTCCACGTCCTGCCTGGGACCACGCGCAAAGACGACCAAAACGGCCGGCCGGTCAGGTGGGAGCGATTCATAACGACATTCGCCGCTTTGTATGGGGTCCTTGATGGTCCTTGGCATGCAAATGAAATCAAATGAAGTAGTCTCAAATCTGGGGCAGCACTCAAACCAAGGGGCTGTTTCGACTTTGAAGGCGGCTCGTGTCCCTCGTTCGTGTCACCCAAGTAAGGTCAAGTAAGTGGCCTAGAAGTCAGGAAAAACTATTGAACAAATACATGCGACATACGATTGTATCCTATTGGCCCATTGGATCCCTTGGACCCCTGCTCCCTGTTTTGCTTCCCCCGCTCCCCCTCGCCCCCCTTTCTGGCCCACCCAAAAGACACACTTTTCCAGTGTGCTTTTTCTCCATAGTGTTGTCTCAAAAAAAAGGTGCTATTTCTTAAACATTCCCAGAGTCTTGACATGCCAATTTTGCCCCTATAACTTGGGGGCCGGCAAACACAATGATATAGCTATTATTAATGTGTTTGTTGTGCCGTGGTAGGTGCAGAGTTTGTCATCTCACCCGCCAGATGCAGCTGTGCGGCGGTGCCGTGCCCGCCCCTTGATCCAAGTGACATGACTTCCTTCGCCTTCCTCTTAGGCACTCCAACCCGCCGCAACACCCCTGGCGGTTTCAGTGCTTCACCGACAGGTTTGGGAGCTGCCATGAAAATATCGGCTACAGGGAACTGGTACCCACCCTGAGGTTTGAACATGGAGCAGCAAAAAACACTTGTGGAGATTTATACTTCGTAGAAATGATTTGACATTGCTGCATTGCTCAGTTTGTTCATTCCGACTTTCTGCTACAAGAGCTTGGGGGCGCAGCAAACATGATCCGATGCTCGTTGAATTTCACCGATCCCATGGGAGCCCCCATGGTTTCACATGAGCGAAGTGATAGCGAGCGAGTGCCAAACAGTGTGCCTTGAACCTGCCTGCACCCGCATTGCCTGCAGCCTGTGTAAGATCGCAACCTTTTCCCCATGAGGAACAGTTGAACATGAGCCTGTGTACTCCACAGTTGCTAGGTTGTTTTTTGAACGACACCCATGAGTCTTCACATGCTACACCATATATATGGTGATGCTCATGCATAGGATTTCAAGATCTGCCATCTACACAAGGCTGTTGTATGCAAGTAAACTTGAGACTTCAATACATTCTGTACCTCTATAACTACACGGGTTTGCATATGTGTCAATGATCCAAGTCTATAGTGAGAGTCCTTCGGATCAACGACCTGTCTAGCCTTTCATCCCGCCTTCGTTCAGCGTGGTGAGCAGCGCATGACCGTCGCGAAGCACGGACACGAGCTGCCGCTTCCATCGGTCCAAGCCCTGTGGAGAGGACTCGTCAAAGAGAGGACTTCTGTGTATCGTCGCCCGACGCAAAGCGTGTTGCGCTAGGGCGATGACCAACAATCAAAGAAAAAAAGACATGACATGCATGTATAATCATGTATATATGGACCATTTCCCAGCGAACACTCCAGAATTGGCGAAAGCTTCTGCCATTCTTTCTCAGAAATGTCTGGATGTGTCCAGTGGCGCCTCGCCGCCCAGCCAGCAGGCAGCCTCGGAGGTATCCCAGTCCAAAGCCTCTATGCCCTTGCCTCATGAAGGCAAAAATGCACGAGAGTTGAGTCTTGGGCGCGGCCAGAAAAAGGGACTAAGTGGATGGTCCACATGATGTTTGAGAAAGAGCGTGGGGTTGTGAAGTGGGCGACTGCCGTACTGCCCTCCAAGATTGACAAGGCATGACAACTTTGGCGTGCCAACCATCCTTTGTCGAGCGGAGGAATGCAATGAATCCAATCAGTTTATAAAGCATTATATAGATAAATTACTATAATAAATAAAAACAATTGTTTGTTGAAAACTTGTATGTATAATGTGAGAGGGCAAGGGGATGAGAGCACTTGGGTGGCATTCAAAAAGCAATCAGGAAACCTTAAATGAGATGGTTGACACAAAAGTTTCTTCCATCCCGGGACTGGCCCAAGGATCAAGTATTACTATTCAATGGCATTCAAACAGTCGGGGCCGTACTATAGCACCGCAAAAACGTTGAAGATTCCCACACCTAACAAGACATAACAAGACATCTCCTCCCACAAAGCCATTCAATCTATGTATATATATATATATTTGTTGAATCTGCTTCTGTTTGACATGATCACCTTCCATTAGTCCATGTTTTTTCATGTCTGACCAGGAACTGAGTAGGCGGACACTCCCCCAAACGCTTTGTTTTTTCCGGCCCAAAGTGCTGGCGCCGATGTAGCAGGAGCTGCTGCAAAAGTCCTCGTCTCGCCCAAACTCACAAAGATCATACGTGCCGCAGAATCCTGAGCCAACGAGGACGAGCAACTGAGCAGCAGGTTTACTGATACAAACAAGTTGAGAAGCATGCAAAGGACGTCCTAAGGCATACTGTAAAGGCCTTTGTGCAGAAAGAGAAAGCACATGTTGCATGTCTGTCAGTCTGTGTCTGGCGGAATTGCTGGAAAGGAACACGTGAGCCGCATGTAGCAAATCGGACAAGGAAATTCCAAGAGATCGCCAAAGAAGTTTTAAAAAAAACTATGTACGCACACGCTCTCTCTATTCAGAAAAGCACATGGCAAGAACTGTTAGGCACTGTTGATTGTGGAACTGAAGGCGTAGAGTGTAGACATACAGCCTGAAAGTCCAGAAACAGCAACATGTCTTCAGTTTAAGAGCGCTTGCTTATGTAGAGTCGATTTTTCCCCAATACGCGGCATGAACTCACTCGTGCGGCCAGAATTCGGCACTTGTGCTTCTTGAGTGCTACCGGCCGCTCCTGCTGGTGTGACTGGCCGCTCCCACGAACTCAGAAGGCTTGTATTAAGTGGTTGTTAAGCTCATGAAGGCTTCGGGTATAGATCAACCGAACAGAACAACTGAGTGACCGAGTCAAGGATTTCAGTCAGTCTTGAGCCATCAAGAATCAAGCAGAGTAGAGCGCAACAGGTCAACAGGGATTCCAGGATTCTGATCTAACATGGTCACCAAAAGAATCCTCGCCTTCTGAAAGCATCTCATGCTGAAGAAACCAGAAACATCATGGCATCCACTTCCCATGATCTTCCATGCGTGTGTGTTTTTTGTCATGGCTTGTTATGGATAGTTATGGCATGGCTATGACGCCGCATCCCGAGGCGAAGAACACCCCGAATGCACTCCCACCTGTCTGGGGGACCGAGATCGAGAAGGCCTCGCGACAAAGAGAGGCCGTCGGTCCCGCACCGGTGTGGACGTCGTGCGGTGTGGCAGTCTGGAGATGGGATTGGTTTTTTGGACCTTTTTTCAGTAATGTGTGCAACCTGGATCAGTAGTGCGCCAAGCTTTCCAGATGGTTGCATGCATTGGAGAGGTTGTGGGAAGGCAATGAAAGGATGAACATCGACCATCAAGCCTCCTGCGAAAAGCTTCACGAGTGCACCTACACCCCGCCGAGCCACTTTGGCCTAGGAACCGCTCAAAATATTGCCTGTCACATGTGATTAGCAGTCAAATTGTGAAACATCCCGGCACAATAAAACTCCGCCAACAAAGAAACATAACAACCATATCGCACCGAGCACATACAGTGGCCAAATTTGTTCAACAATTGTTCAATCGTGGTCATATTGGGCCGTATGTTCCCCAGAAAGGGGCCACAGTACGAATTCCGCTGCTAGCCACTGGTGCAATATTCCTGCCGGACGCACAATTACTCTGTTACTCCGGGCTCCTGATCGCTCAGGTGCCGTGCCTTTGGGCGTAAAAGGCCGCCATCTCTGAGCCGGCCGAAGCTGCACCCAAGTTGTTTCTGTGCCAAATGTCTGCGGCGGCCGGGCCTTTTCACCATGCGCCACGCGGGGGCGGCTTCTCGTTTTGGGATGTTTTCGGAATAAACTCAATAACACAAACACACACCAATGGCCTGGGGTGCGACGCTGGTCTCGGAGTCTCTGACAATACTCTCTTTGGTGGATGTCTGCTGATCCGTGGTCAAATTGGGCTGCGGCTACGGCTATCTCTCTCTTCTCTCGCATGCACTCACCCATGCTAGTGACAATATGGCAACCCGTTCACACTTCAATCAGACCAGAACGAGCTCCCAGCGTCTTCACGTCACGTTTTCCACTCCTCAGCCTCTTCCAGCTCGGCGGACTCGGTGCGGAGCCGCAGGTTTTCCGAGACCAAGGCGTCGGCCTGGCTCACGCAGGCCTGAAGCCTTGGTGCAGAGGCTGGCATCGCCGACGTCAGTTGAACAGGAACAATTCAATCAAACAAAAGCAAGTCTAGTACCAGTACCACTAGCACCACCTACTAACATACTAGCAGCAGCTGTAGTAACTGTAGTAGTCGCAGCACCACCACCACTACTACTCCTCCTCCTCCCTGCTGCTGCTGCTGTTGCTGCTCTTTAAACGACAAAGCACTAATTTGGAAACAGAAAGGGGCTGGAACCAATGGTTTCCTATGTCTTTCCTGAAAATATGAAGATGTGTTCCTTCTGTCTTCCGCTTCGTCCGTTTCCTCCGTCCACTGGGCACTCCGGGCTTCTTCCCGAGCTCCACGGCCTCGCGGCGCAGCTGGGCGCGCTGCTGACGCAAGGCTTCGCTCGCGTGGCCTCGAGCGAAGAGGCGGAAGCCGCTGGACGTCGGCGGTTTTGGAAGAGAATCGCCTTCTTAGGAACCACAGGAACCATCCCAACCCGATCGGCATATATATGGCAGTCCCATGGAGTGTCGATCAATCATCATCAATTATCTACGTCCACGTGGATTTCTTTGTAAAAATGACAACGGTGGCGAAGAGTAGGCCATGAAACTGTTGATGGAAGAGCTCCGGAGTCCGGAGCTGACGTGCATGACTAGCTGGTGCAACCACCAAAACAAGAAACCCAGGCGCAGGGCATCCTGAGGAGTTTTTGGGACTCCGAAAGCCTGCTAGCACTGCCAACGCCCGGCAGAATGCAGGATTTTTCTTCAGTTTTGGTCGCTACAAGTAGGGATGCAGTTTGGCGGAAAGAGTCACTTTAAGAGTTTCCGTGAAAATCATGGAAAAATGAATGGTTGGTTGCTATCTTGTGAGGCATTCACAGTGATTTTAGAACAACCTCTCGATCATGGCCTTCCAAACACTGGACCTGCCCCTTGGGTGGGGACGAAGGTGCAAAGACTTCAGGAGGAGACGCAACCATCTGAATCTAAACTGCGCAGAATCTTGTCTGAACTCACTCCATCACTCCATCATGTTTATGCATTTTGCTGGGAAACTGTGTGCTTTCTCTTATCTCTTTTGAGAAGGGCACAGTCTGGACCACTCATGGGGCACAATCAACCTCAAGGCATACGGCTCCATGAGCTTGGGGTATTATTTCCTTAATATCCTCTAGATGCTACCGTGCAAAAAAGGAACGACCTTGGGATCAAGAGATCCTCCAAACGTTTCACAAAATATCAATATCATTCAACATAGAATAGGTCGACCTGAGGGACCTGGCGACATTTACGTCTACTGGAGAGAGAAAAAATGGACAAAACTCATCGGCTCATCTCGACACATCACCGTCTCACGCGTCTCACGCGTCTCTTCTTGGCTCGGACGGTGCTCTGTGGCTTCCTCCTTGAAGTTCGTGGAGCCTGAGGGATTGGATAGACCCCAGGCCGGGGCCCGAAAGGCCGACTCCGACTCTGAGCGATCAAAACGGTGCTTGAGCTTATCAAAAAAACAGCTGCTTCGACCCCCGGAAAAGCATCTCTGTTACTGTCGCGAGTTTTTGTCGTTAAACTGTCTAATATATATATATACCTAGATCTTCAAATGAGCAGAAATAAGTGCTCGAGGTGTAAACTGCTCGTTTTGCAAAAAAGTGCTCGAGCTGCAAATGAAGAAAAGCAAAAACAGGTGCAGTTTTCCAAAGTGCGCTCGTGTGCGTTTTTTTGCGCTCGTGTGCGGAATTTTGCGCTCGAAGTGCGGCCTTGAAAAAATGCGTGGGACACACAAGAAACTGCGCGTTTTACAAAAACTGCTCGTTTATCCAGAAAGTGCTCGATTCTTAAGAAAGTGCTACGAAACGCATTATTTCTGCTCGTTTGAAGACCTAGGTATATATATGTCTGGCTCAAGCCGTTTCAGCATCAAGCCTGGTGTGTCACGCACATCGGGCTGAGCTCGAGGGTGATCTACCTCACAACGAACCACCTGGGCCTGTTCGTAGAGGACCAAGGCATCCACACCTGGTGGACATCCCCGAGCACTATGACACCCACGAGCTCCTCAAGGTGGTGCCGAGGCTATCAAGTGTGCCAGACATCCACGTGTCACAACTGGATATGGCAGGATCGAGTGCGAGAAGGCACAGTCTGCCGGCAATGCGGCACCGCATGGCAGAAACCTCCTCAAGGATTTGCTCCGAGGTCCCCTCCACCCAGGCTTGCTCGAGGAAAGACTTCCAGAAGTGTCACGCCCCCGCCTGGACTGTGGAAGAGCAACAGCAGACCGAGCAAAGTTCAGAAACTCACTGGAGAGCTTCTTGCATCCTCATGGGACAAGCTTGATCCAGGCCTCCAACAAAAGCTAACTGAGATTGGCATCTCCCCACCACCTCCAAGCCCTGAGCCTGACTTGCAGGACGTCTTGAGGGACAACCTGGCGCAACTCCCGGCACCCGTGAAGGAATTGGTTGAGAAGATCACGAAGCCTCAGCCACCCACGGAAAAGGATGTTGCCAACAAGCTCAAGCAACAAGTGTCCAGTCTACGAGACCTGTCCCACCGAAAGCAGACCCTGCAGTCCAAGATTGATGCCACCAAGAAGGCCTTTCAGGACTTGCTGAATGAAATGAAGCTCATCCAGACCAAAATGGAACAGGAGCAAGGCGAGCTCAACAACACAAGCACGGCCTACATGACTTTGGTCAGCAAGCAGCCTGATCCTGTTCACTTAGTCGAAGATGCTGAAATGAAAGATCCAGTACCAGAAGCTGTAGCTGGTTTCATCAGCACTCTTGGAGTCAGTCTCACACAAGAGCAGCAGGACCAGCTCAAGTCGATGCTCAAAAGGCACACTTCCAACACTGATGATGATGCCAAGCGCCCCAAGCTTGCAGAAGGTGATAAGGAACATTCTTGTGGGTAACCAAGCCAGAGAGGCTTTGCAGCACGATTTGATTTCAGCTTCCTTCAACACTTTGGGGTTCAAACCATGTACACACATGGACTGGGGTTCAGGTCAGTCAAGTTGCAGGGGATTTGACAACTTTCCTGACCACTCCTACACTCACAGTTTGGGCTCAAAGTCAAAGGGGGAAGTGGCCCACTGCTGGAAACAGAGGCACCGAGCTCTTCTACCTCAGAGCCTACCCCCAAGGGTAGTGCTTTCAACGGGACCTCTGGTTTCCAAGCTTTGGCCCGCATCCTCAAGAGCATGGATTGTGAACAAGAGCTTCACAGCCCAGTCCAAGAACAACTCCTTCAAACTGGGCATCAGGACCTTCAGGCATCATGCCAGGAGTACCTGCGTGCTCCGACTTAGGATCACGGTCAGCAACTTTTGGCTGACCTTCAACGAATGGAGCGGTTGGTATACAAGCATCAAGGACTTCAAGCAGATCCTCCACTCATTCAGGCGAACTCAGGCCTGATCGCCCAGAATCTCACCAGCATAGCCGCCAATGATGGCAACCGGTGCTTTGGCAACTCTGTCTTCAGGTGCTGGAGCTGGATGAGTTGCTTCACCATGGAACCTACTCGAACGTGGGGCAGACTTCATCAGGCCTTCAGGACCTTTCTCTCCTCCTCGAGACCGTGCTTGTTGACACAGATCCATGAGCTCATGGATGTCTGGGCACATTTCGATGACAAACAACAAGCAGATGTAGGTGACTTTGTGGGTCACCTCTACACCACAGCGGCTCCACCAAGCATTGGGGGCAAATTCTTCCACCTCAAGGCCTCTGGTGTCTTGGAAGAAAGAGAGCAGGTACCGATCAATCTCATCTGCCCTCAGGGTGATTCTACCATCACCCTGACTGAACTGGTCAATCAGTGGGCCAATGAAGAAGAAGGTCAATATTTGTATGGAGCTCCTGATTGTTTGATCTTCCACATTCAGAGATTCCAGCGCCTTGAGAATGAGTGGACCAAGCACCACCGACAGCTGGAAGTCCCTCCGGTCATCACTGTGCCCTACTCCAATGATGGGGTCTCCGTATCCAAAGCTGGTTACAGGACTGTTGCCATGATCCTGCATCACGGAGAGAACCATCACAGTGGGCACTTCACAGCCATCCATGCACTGGATAACGCCTTATGGAGTGTTGATGACAACCAATATCCACAACCGATTGGGGAGCTCACCCCACTACAGGAATCCGAAGTTCTCCAAGTTTGGCTTGTCCATGACCACATGCTAGATGACTCTGATGACCTCTTCGTTCCTGAGCCTGCCCTCAAAAGGACCAAAACTCACTATGAAGATGTCTTGATGTGCTTTGCCAACGTCACCTCCTTCGGCAAGAAAGTTCAGGATTGGGTTTGGTCCAAGGCTGATCACCTCCTCTTTCTTCAGGAAACTCACCTGAACGACAACAAGCTACAAGATGTCATGCAATACTACATCACCAGAGGATGGAGAGCGCTGGGTGTTCCGGCTGAGGCCACAGGTCGCGGAGGCAACACAGGGGGTTTTCCTTTGCTTGTATCCTCCTCATCACCATCTTCACAGCCTGCAACACTTTTGCAAAGAAGGCTGGATGGCTGTGGGCTATCAGAGGGAGGGCCTCCACATGGCCATCATTCAGCTATATCTCCGCACCGGAGAAACCTTGCAGTCACCTCTGAATGCCGAGATCCTCAGCAACCTCTTTGCGTTCCTCGAGCTCCTCAAAGCTCCCTTCATCATTGGCGGAGACTGGCAAAATCCTCCAAGTGAGCTTGCCGCAATGGTCATTCAAAGCAAATTCAAAGCTCACCTTTTGGCAGGAGAGGCTTCCACCACTCTGCAAGGAAGCGAGATTGACTATTTCCTCGTCTCCAATTCTCTTCATGGTTCATTGACGTTGGACATCAGTTGGGAAGTCCCGTGGAAGCCTCATTGTGCCATTCATCTCAAGTACCACAGCGAGTATTTGACCATTCCGGTCCAGCAGATCAGAGCCTTCCCGCCCATTGGGAAAGCTCTCAACCCACATCACAGCTGGTCTGAATTCCAGGAGCCCAATGGACCCTTTTACTTCGGTAGTCGGCCGACCCATGCGCAAGATTTTGTCCATATCAGAGGAGGTGCAAAGCGAGCACTCAGAGCTCTGCAGAATCTACAGCCAAAAAGTAACCAATGCAGGACTATGCAACTTCCACCGATTGCATCCTCCAGAACCTCACAATGGCTGTTGAAAACCCTAGTGCCAGGTGCTACGCCAATGCGCCCTGGAGAGCCTTCACTTGGATATGCGCCACAAGCACCCAACCGTGGGGGACTTTGCAAACAGCAGTCCAGGAGTCCCTCGACACTGCTGAGGCCGTGGACATCATGACTCTACCAGGTCTGAAAGCGCTGTGGAAAGAGCACGATCTGAACATTCAAGGAGATGCAAGTCATTTTGTGAACTCCCTATGGCTATACTATAGGTATGCTGAGATCAAAGAAGGGGGCTACCTAGCAGATCATGTGCAGCAGCCCATCCTGGTGCCCTACCCGGACGACTGGCCAGGACCTCATCCTGCACAGTTGTGGAAGAAAGGCAGACCTGCCTTTTGGGAAAAGATGTCTGTCCGGATCAATGCTCTTCACCACAGTGAGAATAACGCTGTCAAGCAGGATCTCCTCAACATGATCCCCAGCATTGCTGAGCACGCTGCTGATGATTTAGATCAGGACAACTTCTGTGCATCTCTTTCCTTTTGGGTGGAACACACTCACCAAGATCCACAAGGCCTACAAGATATCATCATGGCACAAGAACACCAAGCCCACATTGGGCTAGCCTTGGCCAGTTCAGAAGAGTACAAAACCTGGCTGGCTCAAGCACATTCCAAGGGTCTGAGAGGGCTCTTTCGAAGTCTTCGACAGAAAGACATCCCATGGCAACGACCTTTCCAGGACCTCCCTCTCCAAGAACGTCTTCAGGCCAGACAGAGTCAGTGGGGTGTAGTGGGGTGCCATATGGATGCCGGTCGATGAACCATGTCACATCAGGGGCTTCAGAGAGTTGAGAGAAGATGCCATCGAGCAGGCTCGCATTCTTCAACCCATCAACCCACTCAGCCTTCAAAGGCTGATCAAGAAACTGCCGCACAAAGCTTCCGGTCCGGATGGAATCTCCTATGACTTCCTCAAGCAGCTCCCCTTTGAGGCGGTAGCCCAACTGGCAAACTTGTTCAATCAAATGGAACAAGAAGCTCTCCTCCCAACACAGATGAGGATGGTCAACATCGTGATGATTCCCAAGAACCTTAAAGTTGAGAGGCCGATCGCCTTGACGTCATGCCTCTACAGACTTTGGAACCGCATCCGCAAACAGGACATCGTCAAGGGCAGCTCTCACCCGACACTGCCATGCCTTGGGATCATGCAAGACCCAAAAAAGACTGTCTCTCGATAGCAGTTGGTCGCATGCTTCAATCTGAGCTTTGCAAGCACAACGACATTCACACTGTCACCTGCTTAGCAGATCTCAGCTGCTTTTATGACACTGTTGATCTTGATCAGATCATTCAGCCGGCAAGGGAGCTTGAATATCCTCTTCTTCACCTGAAGATGGCCATTGATCTCTACCGCGGCCCCAGAGTTATTCAAGCAGAAGGCATCGCCACAGAGCCCCAGCACTACCGCAAAGGCATCTTACAGGGATGCCCTCAAGCTCCTGCCATTGCCAAGCTGGTACTCTACAAGCCACTCCTTGCACTCCAACGTCAGCATGCTTCAGACATGGGTGGACGATGTCTCCTTTGATGTCCGTGGCCGCGATCCCATTTATGTGGCTCAGGAAGCACTACAGGCTTACAGATGCCTTCACTCAGCCCTCACGGAAGCCGGTCTCAAGCTCAACACGGACAAGACGGGATTCCTCACCAGCTCCAAAGAGACGGCTACGGCCTTGAAGGCCCTTTTACAACCTGGGGATCCTGAGCTCTATGACGTCTTCAGAGATCTAGGCATCGATGCCACAGCAGCAAAGAGACGAAGGGTGCCCCAGGTGAAGAAACGATTCAGCAAAGGGAGATCCAGAGTTGGCATCATGCACACACTCAAGCTCCACACGAATGTGAGATACAGGCTACATCGAGGAGCGATCCATCCGGTGATGACCTGGGGGGCTCAGGCCAACGGGCTCGCCCCACAGCGACGTCACCAACTACGAGTGATGGCGGCTCGATCCCTCAAGCTCCAGAAGTCGGGCTCAGTTGACATCGTTTTTGACATGAACAAGAAACATCCTGACCCAGGGGACGTCATCATACAGCAGCATGTCCACACGATTTGGAAGTTGTATCATAGCTTCGACGACAGCAAGCGCCATCTCTTCAACTCCAGCTGGAACCTTGCCCTTGCTCCTCTCCAGAAGGCCAAGTATCCATGGCAGGTCGTCACAGGCCCTCTGCAGGCGTTGCAAGCCTATCTGCTAGACCTTGGCTTTGACATCCAGGATGGGAAAACATGGCACAGAGGAGGTTATGGGTCCATTCCTGACTGCACTCTTTCTCTGGAAAAGCTCTGGCCAGAATTGGACATGTTGTTGCAACAGGAGTTCAACTGGCAACGTCTCATCCGCTTGACCAAGTACAAAGGTTGTGAACATTTGGAACAGCCGTTGGATTGGACTATGAGCCTCAAGCTTCAGCGCACCACTAGTGACCGCCTTGCCTGTGCACTGAGGGCCTTTCATCAAGGAACACTGCATGGCTTCACCGGTCTTTGCCCCCTTTGTGGTGTTGAGTTGTCCACTACCCACCTGGTTTGGGAATGCTCCTATTGGCAGGGCCGGGTCAAAGACATCCCGGATGAATGGAAGGACCGCATCAGCCAGAACATCGAGCCTGAGATTTGGAACAGGGGTCTCTCTCAGCTCCCCTTTCGTGAGCGTCACGGAGGACCTTCCACCTTTGAAGGCGCTGGCAAGTGGCACAGTTTGCAACCATGTCACATTGATCATGGACACGCATGCTGCTTGGACATTGCTCCCACATGTGCGGACACCCGCCATCAGCAATACATCTTTGCCATTGGGATCTTTGAGATTGCCACCAAGGAGTGCCTCGCCTCCATTTCGGGTATCTGCTCAGGAGAGGCCACAAAAACTCGAGCCACCTTCTATGCGCTCAAACAGCTTGCCATGCACCTGCTTGACTCCACTCACGTTGGCATCTCCAACCTACAAGTTTGGAAGGCTTGGACACCTCATGTGGCCTTGGAGAAATTCCCTGATCTTTACAGTGGACTCGAGTTTGAAGACTTTGACCAAGTCAGACCACTCCTGTTCCTCTCGCACTTGCAACAGGAGGAGGGCATGAAGACAAGGAAACAGCTTCAGAAATCCATCAAACGCATTGCTCAGGAGAGAGCAAAGGCTGAGGCTCCCAAGGACTTCCTTGCCTACCAGAAGGTCACGGATGAAGACCTAGCCGACATCCTCATGACAGCGGCAGAACGAGTTGATCGGGTTCTTCGAGATCAAGATCACTTCTTGAGGAAGCCCACACAGCTCACGCAAGAGGTCAAAACGCCGCTGCTTCAGCAAAAGAAAGAGCTCATTGCCTCCTTGCTTCGTGAGCCTGAGAAAGGGGGACACCAGTGGGAGGTCCATCGTTCCGGAGCCATTTGCTGTCGATGCAAAGACAAGATCCACTCCAAAAGCATGATCCAGGAGATCAAAGCTGCCATGGCCTCGACGTGTCAGAATCCTGTCCAAGCCAAGATCACAAAAACCCCAAGGCTGGAGGTAATCAAGCAGCTCATTGACAGCCAGGGCAAACCTTAGCCTGGAGTGCACTTTTGGCGCTTAGACAAAGCGTACTTACGTTGTGACCTTTGTCGGAGCTACATTTTGGCAAGGTCGAATGAACAGACCTTTGAAGAGTTCGTTGGACAGGTGTGCCACAGCGGACCACTTCCGCCCTCAATGTGGGAGGGTCACCATTCCCACACAATGCAGCGCCTTGGAAATGCTGCAGAGTGTTCCCGCTGTGGAGCACGCAGCCGGATCATCAACGACAAGGTGGCCCTCAACCGTCGCCTCAAAGAGGCTTGTCCAACCAAGTCACAAGACTTGAGGACGATGTTCACGTGAGCACCCATTTGCACAGGAAAAGAACCGTGGAAAAAAATATATATGTCTAACTTTTGGGGGGTTAATACCTCAACGTATACCTACAGTATTATCTTTTGCAGATCTTTCTCGAATAGAATCTCTACTTTACATTTGCGAACTCACAACTCTTGCGAACAACATGAGGCTCTCAATGGACCTCTTAAGCAACTACCACACATATTATGATTGTAAAATATATATATATGTGTAGCAAGTAAGTAGAGGATCATGGATCGGATAGTAGATGATGAACATGAAGATGAAGGTGATGATGATGATGATGATGATGATGATGACGATGACGATGACGGTGGCGACGGCGGGGTGGGGGTGCATGGTGAAGTCAACTTGCAACACTGAGAGCATGGTGCATTGCTCCTTCAAAAGAACAGTAGCCCTAGGATTCCAAGTACCTCCTCGGAAGGTATTTGGAACCTCCTGGCACCCAGCCCAGTCCCACCTTCGCAGGTTCGGCACGACTGGAGCCCGATCGGGTAAGTGACAACTCATTTCGCACTTGGGATGGAAGGACCTGGAACGCTTGGAGCCGTATCCCACGATGTGGACCTCTTCGCCCGAGACCTGCCAGTCGCCCAAAACATGCTCATTTTGAGAGGCACTCTTCTTGAAACGGGGCGCATTACGCTATGCCCAACATGCAACAGCATCAATCATCTACTATACAACAAGCAAATGATTAGAGATTAGAGCGATTCCCTGACAACACTGAGTAATTAGCTCCACCGTCCAGCAAACCACAAAACCACCACCCCGGCATGCCCGTTTCGGATGACTTGGCGGCCCGGACAGGCCAAAAGTTCTGCCTGAAGTCTTCGACGAGTGGCCAAGCGTGTGGAGGACAAGGCTTGAGCCTCGCCCGCAATCGTGGGGTGGCGAGGAAACAGGTGGTGTGAGTGGTGTGGCTCGGGTCAATCATTTCCTTCGACATGCAGCAGGTAGCTCACTCCCTACCTAAAAGCCAGATTGGTTGCGACACCAAGCCATACGTGATAGGGCAGCATCATGAAGAATGAAGGGTATCATCTGCAACCCAGGTGCTAAACATCGGGGACTGGACCCAATGTTAATTTTCGACTCCAAAGACTCCACACTTGGAAAGTTAACACAGGGAAAGCTCCCGGAAAATGGCGAGAATGGTTATATCACACTGATCGGTTTGGGGAGAACAGTAATTATTGTAAGCCAGCCATAGGCCTGTCACCATGAAAGCTGATCGTCTTCAGACATGACCATGAAACTGTACGACAAACAACGCCTAATGATCTGGAACCTGCATACTGGCACTATATATGGCACTAATTTGTTGTATTAGTATAGTCATCACTGCGGGACACCACAAAAACACCATTTGGGGTTAGCTCCCCCTCAAACAAAAGGAACGCGCGCGAGATCGCGCGAGTCCTGTGCATCATTCCGACCGTTTCACTCGTCGTCACGGACCCGTCACCTGCTTCAGCTCGGCCGTGAACTCCAGCACCTTGCTCCCGGCGAAGCGCCGGAGGTGAACGAACACACGATCGATACGCACATCACATCGCCCGGTTGAAAGAAACCATCCAAAAGAGCGACGTGAATTTCCCCAAAGACTCGAGTCAGTGATCAGTATCAGGAGGCTATTTCTGGAAATTCCTACAGCTTCGCAAACAGTAGGATTGAAAGGGAATACCTCTGCCGCCGGGAAGCAGCTCATGTGAACCAGTGGGTAGGATGGGATCCCGGCGTGACACACCGGCCTCCGAGTGCAGCTCATCCACAGAGGAGGAGATCGCTCGCTGCTCGGCACGCATCTCAGCCAGGACCTGTGCGGCTGAAGAAACATGAAGAAACCATGACGTCTTGATGGAAGAATTCCTGCACCAAGGAAAGGTAGAACCTTGGTGTATACATGTGTATTGATATATATATATATATCTATTCGATTATATCTATCTGATTATGTATTTAATTAGTATTAGTGCTCACGAGTTTCGTTTTTCCAGCTGCGCAATGGGGGAGATTC